CAATAGGGAAGAATTTACACATTTGATACCTTTCTCTTTAAGGTTTCGCGTGCTCAATGACGTAGGCATACATCGGTGTGCACGTCGATTCAACACGGATTGGAAGAGATAATTTTTTCGGATTGACACATTTTTTTTCCTGGAGTAAACAGACTACTGTACTTGGTACTGTACCATACGATGTTTTGTACGAGCGATTGCGACGATGCCTATAACAAATGTTGGTCCTCGCCAAGAAGGTGAATGTTTGAAAGAGAGCGTTCGTCAGTCACTGCACCCATATCTCTACCATGATCTTCGTTGAGAACGTTATGAAGCGAACGTTTACAGCTCTCGTGTTCAGCCTCCCAAAGAGCCATGGTCTTTCTTCTTCGTTGGCTACCTGTGGACGCTTAGGATTTACCTCTGTTCCTTCAGGAAGAAAGTACGGCTGTGTCAGCGAAAAGGGAGGAATCAGGAGCTCTCTTTTCTCAACGTTCAGCGCACCAGAACCCCCTAAGTCTAAGGGTGTAAATGTGTTCGAAGATGTCGATTTTTCGGTTCAAGGCAACCCATCGTCACAATCGTCGATTCGAAACTCGGATCCTGACGCTGTGTTTTTGGTAAACGGGGCCAGTAGAGGGATAGGTTTGCAATTTGTCAGTAAACTTCTGAGTGACACCAAGGGAAGAGTAATTGCTGGTTGTAGATCCCCTGATGATGCACCGAAGCTACAAGATTTGTTATCAACCCTCGATAAAAAGTCGAGAAATAGAGTAGAGGTGATAAAACTTGATGTTGAAAATCAAGATTCCATAGAACTATCAGCTGCAGAAATCAAAGTTCAATATGGTCGAGTTGATCTTCTACTAAACGTGGCTGGTATTTTAGGCGATGGGAAGAACACTCCGGGTCCTGAAAGAAGTGTTGCCAAAATAGAACGTGAATGGATGGAAAAGACGTTCCAAGTGAATGTGATTGGCCCCGTAATGTTGGCGAAAGAACTAGCACCTCTAATGACGCAGGCACGACGCACGGGACGGAGAAAAGCAGACAGCTCTGACGAAACTTTATCAGAGAAGCAACGAGCAGTTGGGGTTGTTGCAAACTTGAGTGCTCGAGTAGGATCTATTTCTGATAATGGTCTTGGTGGATGGTACTCGGTAAGTTTTTCAAAAACAGAGCTTGCGCTGGGATTAAATGACCGTGAAGTGTCGATATGGCTCACGATTTTTTTTGGAAACGATGCATTTCCATTGTATTCTTCCCATCTTGTACAGTACCGAATGAGCAAGTCTGCACTGAACCAAGCAACAAGAACTTTAGCAAATGAGTTGAAGCGGAAATCAGTGTGGTGCATCGCGCTTCATCCCGGAACGACGGATACAGACTTATCAAAGCCATTTCAAAAGAATGTGCAAAAGGACCGGCTCTTTCCGGTCGAATTTACCGTCGACAGTCTTATGAATGTAATTGACTCAATGGAGGAGCACAATTCTGGTGGACTGTACGATTGGGCGGGAAAGGCGATTCCATTTTGATTGGACCGCCTACAATTGATCATTATGGAAGGATACAAAACTCCATACTCTTGCATGTTTCAGAAGGTCATTTGCATGAGGAGTCTATTCTTGGCAATTTCCTCCCTATTTGCGGTTGTTCGGCCCTGAAGGCGTCGATTCTTTTTCCCGAGATTAATTCAGATTTTCAATTTTTTCGCAGCTTCCTCTCCAATTTTCTTTACAGTATCGACCCAAGTTTCTTCTTTCAGCATCAAGATTGGATCCACTTCACAAAATCGTCCCTCGGCAGCCCTCTGAAGATACATTGATTTATGCACGTTTCGAGCCTTCTCCTTCTCAGACGTTGATTGTTCTTCGTGATTTATTGCTAACATCTCTTGCTCAAACTCGATNTATGAACATTATTGCTTCTTGTTGCACAATCCACTGATATGTGCTGCTGCTGAGAATATCAGCTGATACAAGAAGAAGGAGCTGGACACCACCAGCTGGTAATGCAGAGATTTCAGCTGTGAATGAGCTGCTGCTACTAGTACTACTACTAGTAGTAGTACCAGTAGTAAGAGACAGAACAATGTAATTTTATTACAAATTTGAGCTAACTACTGCTGGTAAGGATGGAACAAGGTCCTGCTGATACTAGTAGTAGTAGTACAAGAAAAASATCAAATGCAAACTCCCAGTGCTGCTCTGGTGAAATGGCAACAAGAAGAAGTGATGTAATTGTTGATTTACATAGTTCTTAGTAGTGACACCAGTAGTAGTCTAGTATTTCTAGTACTACTAGTAATCTTCTTGCTCTACATACTAGTGTAGTAGTATTTGTACTAGTAGTAGTATGAGGAGGAGCTATTATGGATCATGACACCAGAACAAGAACGAGATGGTGGGCTGCTGGTGCTGACACCACAAGAAGTCAACAAGAAGAAGTGGCTACTACTACTAGTAGTAGTAGTACTAGTACTTGTACAAGAACAAGGTGTCATATTCAATGCCATATTTGTGTGTGTTTTTACAGTGCATCATAATGTTACTATCATAAATATTTTGTAGAACAAGGAGGATTACTGCCGTATTACTACTAGTACTAGAGTAGTATTAGTACAGATTGATGTAGAACATGAAAGAAAAGCCCAAAATATGAATTAGAAGTAGATGATATTCTTTTACAACCGGTACGAGTACGGGTACATACCGAAATGATGATTCTTTTGATGATGATTCATCATTCCGACTGATGACGCGGATTGGAAGAGATAATTTTTTGGGATTGACACATTTTTTTTTCTGGAGTAAACAGACTACTGTACTTGGTACTGTACCATACGATGTTTTGTACGAGCGATTGCGACGATGCCTATAACAAATGTTGGTCCTCGCCAAGAAGGTGAATGTTTGAAAGAGAGCGTTCGTCAGTCAATGCACCCATATCTCTACCATGATCTTCGTTGAGAACGTTATGAAGCGAACGTTTACAGCTCTCGTGTTCAGCCTCCCAAAGAGCCATGGTCTTTCTTCTTCGTTGGCTACCTGTGGACGCTTAGGATTTACCTCTGTTCCTTCAGGAAGAAAGTACGGCTGTGTCAGCGARAAGGGAGGAATCAGGAGCTCTCTTTTCTCAACGTTCAGCGCACCAGAACCCCCTAAGTCTAAGGGTGTAAATGTGTTCGAAGATGTCGATTTTTCGGTTCAAGGCAACCCATCGTCACAATCGTCGATTCGAAACTCGGATCCTGACGCTGTGTTTTTGGTAAACGGGGCCAGTAGAGGGATAGGTTTGCAATTTGTCAGTAAACTTCTGAGTGACACCAAGGGAAGAGTAATTGCTGGTTGTAGATCCCCTGATGATGCACCGAAGCTACAAGATTTGTTATCAACCCTCGATAAAAAGTCGAGAAATAGAGTAGAGGTGATAAAACTTGACGTTGAAAATCAAGATTCCATAGAACTATCAGCTGCAGAAATCAAAGTTCAATATGGTCGAGTTGATCTTCTACTAAACGTGGCTGGTATTTTAGGCGATGGGAAGAACACTCCRGGTCCTGAAAGAAGTGTTGCCAAAATAGAACGTGAATGGATGGAAAAGACGTTCCAAGTGAATGTGATTGGCCCCGTAATGTTGGCGAAAGAACTAGCACCTCTAATGACGCAGGCACGACGCACGGGACGGAGAAAAGCAGACAGCTCTGACGAAACTTTATCAGAGAAGCAACGAGCAGTTGGGGTTGTTGCAAACTTGAGTGCTCGAGTAGGATCTATTTCTGATAATGGTCTTGGTGGATGGTACTCGGTAAGTTTTTCAAAAACAGAGCTTGCGCTGGGATTAAATGACCGTGAAGTGTCGATATGGCTCACGATTTTTTTTGGAAACGATGCATTTCCATTGTATTCTTCCCATCTTGTACAGTACCGAATGAGCAAGTCTGCACTGAACCAAGCAACAAGAACTTTAGCAAATGAGTTGAAGCGGAAATCAGTGTGGTGCATCGCGCTTCATCCCGGAACGACGGATACAGACTTATCAAAGCCATTTCAAAAGAATGTGCAAAAGGACCGGCTCTTTCCGGTCGAATTTACCGTCGACAGTCTTATGAATGTAATTGACTCAATGGAGGAGCACAATTCTGGTGGACTGTACGATTGGGCGGGAAAGGCGATTCCATTTTGATTGGACCGCCTACAATTGATCATTATGGAAGGATACAAAACTCCATACTCTTGCATGTTTCAGAAGGTCATTTGCATGAGGAGTCTATTCTTGGCAATTTCCTCCCTATTTGCGGTTGTTCGGCCCTGAAGGCGTCGATTCTTTTTCCCGAGATTAATTCAGATTTTCAATTTTTTCGCAGCTTCCTCTCCAATTTTCTTTACAGTATCGACCCAAGTTTCTTCTTTCAGCATCAAGATTGGATCCACTTCACAAAATCGTCCCTCGGCAGCCCTCTGAAGATACATTGATTTATGCACGTTTCGAGCCTTCTCCTTCTCAGACGTTGATTGTTCTTCGTGATTTATTGCTAACATCTCTTGCTCAAACTCGATYGATGCGTTTAAAAGACGCGCAACAAGACCTGGCGTAGGGCAAACCAAAAATTCCGAGCGGATACTCATTGYATTTTTTTCGAGCTCCTCCTTCAACATTGCGACAACCACTTCCTTGGGACTAGCCGTTGTAATGTATCCCTTTTCGAATGCAGCTTCGGCTACCCTATGAGCATCGAACGATTGTAATGGTCGTTTTGTTGAGTGATTTTCTCCATCTTCAACCGTGGCCCTCAATCTGTGACAAGTTTTCTCAGCGTCAGGGAGCAATTCACAGACAAAATCTGTGACTACGTCTTCTTGGTCGTGAAGGTTCAGGATTCGCACGTCGTCAAAATGCGGGGAAAACTTGTTGTATGYAGAAATAGTTAGGTGGTGGCCCCAGGCGTTGTTCGCAAAACCACCATCAACACTCAAATCGCCATCTTCCTTTCTTTGCAGGTGGTAATCTAGAAAAGAGAGAAACGATGGGTGGGCTCTGCCACGCCCTTGCGCCGGCCACTTTTGATCGAGTTTGGCGTTTTGCTTGTGGGTCTGATAATAGAAAGATCGGATCCAATCAAAGTAATGCCTGTATCCGATGATAACTTTCACATTCCATCCATGTAGCATAGAACGGAGGCAATCCCACGTAGAATTTTGATCCTTCAAATGATTTGCAAATGCTTCGTTGCTATAGATGACGTTATTTCCATTGAGACGGTGGTAGTCCATCCGTGCTTTCAGTGCTACATATCCACGGCCTGTTGTGCTTGCGTCGTTGAGTCCCATCATCAGGTAGTGTCCTGGAATGTTTGTCTCGTTGTTTTCCATCCGTTTTCCCGACCCAGGACAGGTCTTTCCGACGAAATAATAAGAATCCTCGTCTGCTAACTCTTTGCTCCATTTTTGCAAACCACATTGGATGGAAGTGGTCGCCGTCTTTGGTGGACCGATGTGCAAAATAAAGTGTGGTCTGGTTGAGTTCAAGCCTTGGCCTTTATTGCTCTTGTTCTTCTCAGTACCAAAGCGTCGAGGAGTTTTACGAACATCCTTGCCTTTCGCCTGGTCGTTATCCTCTCTACTTATCAGATTCGAGCCTAGCCACAAATTGAAGATTGCGACTGTAAAGAAWGAAGCGAGTATCACCTCGGCTGTGATCTTCATTCTGGTGTAGATACCAGATATCAGTTGCACGGAAGAATTTTCTTTAGTCCTGAAGACATTGTTTCAATTGATCCAGTATCATCAATGCTGGYAATTCAAATATCAAGGTGAGTTCGAGATTCGTTAGGTACGAGTTAATCGGTAATAAAATTACACCTAGAATTAACGGTTTTCGGCCACATCACTACTACTGTAACTTTGGCTGACTAGTTCTAAGCCCCTAGAGCATCCTTTGGCTTCCCAATGACCTGGATCTTTAAGKAATTGTATCAATTTGGTCTGGGCGCTTAGTCTGGTGGTCTAACGTTGTTTTTTGATAGAGTTCTGGCCTATTTTCTAACCAGCAGCTGGTCTCCACTGGCCAAATTTGGCCATACCAGCTGTTAATGGAGAACTGGCTCCCCCCTGGTCCCTAATCGTGTAACAATGACACACAGCACTCTTCTTAACACTTTGACTGAGAATATCCCCAAAGGGGACCCCAAAGGGGATCTCATTAGAGGCCTTTCTGGAGCTGATGTGTTTAGCTTATTTTAGCTTATTGAGCTGTTTATGGTGGAAAAAGTGACTGAAAACTAGTAGATCTATKTAGCAGCTGGTAGGAACCAGTACAAAATACCAGGCTTCAAAATTAACTGTGATTTTACTTGTAATAATTTTTCTGCCTAGAGTAAAGTTACTTTGCTCCAAGTAGGGTTCAGTAGGTTTTTTACCGTAAACACATTTTATTACCGATTAACTGGTATGTTTGATTTGTAGCTATGAACTATTGCTTGTACATCATGTACCAGGTTCCACAAAGCTGTTGTCAGATTGATTCTTCAAGGTCATTCAATCATGAATCTGGTCTTTCAATCATGAATTGCCATTGAGTCCTTTCCAAAAACTAGCTCAGTAGAATTTCTACTAGTACTACTAGGACATTTGAAGTTCTTAACTTCAAATCAAAGTTTAAAACTTCAACTCAAAACTTTTTGCTCACTGGCAAAACTGGTTTCAATTGTTATGAAACTTGTAGTATGACTCAATAGGAATGAGTATGTAAAAACATAGAATCATAGATATTAAATTATGGTGCCCTACATGTGGTGCTTAATTTTGGAATATGGGATTTTGCCTTAAATTAACAGAAAATAACTGCATTGGGTCATTCCCCTAAACATGTATCCAGGTATGTAATCAGGAATTGCTTTYGCTCAGTAGTAGGCCAGCTCAAATTACATATTTCCCCCCATTTTTGGAATCTGGAATCCTATATAATTGGGTGCTAATTTGACAAGATTCCAGTGGTGTGAACAATTTGGGATTTCACTAAACCAGCTCTGTCTCCAAAACTATGGAAACTGAATCCTCCTCTGAAACAACAAAAACAGTCCATAGTATTCCAAAACAACAAAAACAGTCTGTATCCTCACTATTTGGCTATCGATTGCTCCTTCACAGCAAAATGTCCTCCTTTCAGTTAGTTTCTACTCTCACTATTTGGCAATCGATTGCTCCTTCACAGCAAAATGTCCTCCTTTCAGTTAGTTTCTACTCTCACTATTTGGCAATCGATTGCTCCTTCACAGCAAAATTTCCCCTGAGTTGGTTTTAATTGCATGGGCAGCTTCCCTCCAGCAACAACAGGAGGAGGAAGATGAGACATGTCATCGTCTCYCCCATGAGGACAAGCAGCAAAGAGACAGAAGGATTCCAAGGATTGCACTCATAGTAAAAGTGAATGCCTCTCCATTCATCCATTTGTTTGGTTCTGGTGATGATCAGGCTCTTCTAAATTGCTGTGGTGTTGACCATAGTGTCCTCTTTAGGAGCCTCCTCTCCATTTTTGAGCCAGTGTTTGATAGATACTCTGTGGACAGATACACCAAGCAAATCAGACCTTGCCTATTCACCAAGAAAGGCAAACCCAAGGGCAAAGCAAGAGAGGTAACTCCAACCATTGGAATGGCATTGGTCTTGACTTGGTACAGGACACGAGGATCAGCAGCTACTACTAGGGCCTTGTCTATGGTGTTTGGGTTTACTTTGACACCCCTCTATAGATAGTTGAAATTTTCTAGACAAGTCCTTCTTTTTGTGTTGCAAAAACACCCAAATGCAATTATTAGACTCCCAACAGATGAAAAAGTGGAGGCACATGTGGCAGCAATAGAAAGAAAGTATCCTACCCTTGGAACCAAGAGAGTATGGGGTGCAGCAGACAGTGTCAAAGTTGAGCTTGAGCACTCTGCCAATTGGGCCATTCAGGGCATGTACTATAACTTGTTGTGGGTCATGGATACTTACATTAAAAGTGTCCTTGTCTTTRCCCCAGACGGACAAATCTTGATGGCAACATTTAACTGTCCTGGGACTTTCCACAACAGCACCATGGCAGATTATGGCATATGACAAGTTGGAGGCYGTATATATCAGGAATGGTGGGTCAGTTGTTGTCAATTTTGCATTTAAGGTCAAGGGGGCCAAATATCTCATTTTCAGCCAGCAAAATAATCCAGATACTTTCCCCACAATGGCAAAAGCAACAAGTGCTTTCATCAGCATGCTGTTACCATTCAAGAGAGGCAAAATTAGTAGCTTTGTTGTTCTTGTTATAGTCATCAGATCACTTGTAATGTTTTTTTGCCAGAGATATTTAGTCCTGCTGCTCTTTTTTGTGGTAAAAAGTATCCATGCCTTAAATGCAAGCTGATTCTGTTTCTGCTATCCCGTTCTGCTGCTGTTTGTTTTGGTGCCATAAAACATTGCATAKGTGAAATCTAWTTATCTCTTTTGTTGAATTGGCAACACATTAATGTATTGCTGCCTTTCAAGAAGATTGAAGAGTACAAAAGACAGTAGTAAGTTCCCATCCTAGTCTATTGTTGCAGGGAAAGAATTTTGCCACATCAAGGATAAAGCAAGGTATGGCATATGGAGACAATGCTTCCGCTAAGAAAAGCATTCGAGTCCTTTGAGAAAATTRGCAATTGCAGAAAATTTTAGGCTACTCATAATTATATTCCTGGATATGCTACCGGATGGGAGTTGACACGAGAAAAGTCTTAACCAACGGTGCAATCAGTAGCATTTCATTTCTCAAAATGGGGTCGGTGCAGTATAAGTGAAAGATCAAGTAACTCCTTGATTTGCCATGGCCATTGCAGTGTACTATTTGAATAAGAACACATTGATAATAGTGTTATGGTTCAGAACGACAGTGAGTATGCAGCAGAGCACTTTTTTACATGATTCAATGAACGAAAAGGCACAATGATAGAAAGTCCCGCCGGTTCGAAATGTGCATACCTTCAATCCTCCCGATGTCATATTTGACATATGTCCAGCTTTTCTTCGCTCTCTATCCCTTTTCTTTTCTCGCATTTCGATTTCACGTTTTGCGAAATGAGCAGCCTTCTGCGCGCGGTTCCGGATACCATCCACTGGTAATTCTTCTTCTATATCCGGTTGCCGATGTTTGTTCCATTCGACCAGCATTTTGAGATCCAGGGAAGCAGCATCGCGATCGTCGGATGACTGAAATGATACACGAGCTGCTTCCTTCTCGGTCCCAGCCTTCTTSTCGTCTACCGCATGGACATCTTTTGCATATATCACAATCGTCAGAGTATCGATGGATTCGATCCGTCGTATGTGATGGAGAGGAATGTCGAGTTGGAAAGACATGGCCGAACTTTGTTTTAGAGGTCCACCACCGATATTATTGTGATCGTCCACCTCRGTTTGCTGCTTCTTCCGTGGACATATTTGCAATTCTGGGTATGGTGCCCCATAATTGATCGAATCCTTAGTTGCATCTACCAACTTCAGCTGTGATGGTGTGGTGGGTTCTTCGTCCGAATGACCGCTCTCGTTGCTAGCACCGCTGTTGCTCCGACCGAAAACGCTCTGCATAAATCCTGCTGGGGATATTTTCGACCTACGATTTTTGGCAGTGTGCCAAGACACACTTTTTCGACGATGAATGATTTCAAACGAAGCGAATCAGTCCGATCATGGTCATAGTTCATATTTGTTCAAATCTTCGAAATTGTTGCCGTCGCCTTCTCGGACTTCAACTTTGAACCTACCTCGAGCCTAGCCTGTTGAAATGTTGGAGACTTTGTCTGGCACTTTTATTTTCCGACCCTTCGCAGCATGGGCAAATCATGCCTTTTATTCGGAGTGTAAACAGCGGACCAATTATCATTTTGAAGGAAAT